ATACTTGAAATACATTTAAAAATTTATTTATTTAAAAATAAAAACCACTATCAACAAGTGAGTTGGCAGAAAGGGGACAAGGGTGGCATTTGAGAGAGCAAGCACAAGTACAGAATGAGGCTTACAGAGGCATGGCGTGGGGGAATCTACCCCAGCGGCCCCTGGAGGGTGCGGGCTATAGGTGACACGTGACAAACTTTCTCTCAAGTCTGAGCGCTGACAATTTGGAAGAGCAACTTCCCTTCCTCCTCTCTACCCTGTGCTGGAGCAGACAGCGGGGCTCTGCCTGTTGCCATGGAGACAGAAAGGGGCCTTTCCCTGGTGGCTCTCCAGGCTGGCAGGGCCCTAAGGCAGAGTGTTACCATAACAACTCAGGTGTGGCACTGACCACGTGGGTTGCTTTTGTGGCTGCTACATGGGACCTGAAGAAGGTATTGGTTTGATTCCTCTGCTCACTCCAAGGTAAGGAGGAAAGGTGGAGCTTTTGGTGTGGAGGATCTGGGGGTCTGTAACCTGGCAGCCAATCTGGTCCATTGATTACGTGTTCATTTTTGCTAATTGCTGGTAATGCTACTGGCGTTGTTGGTCTCGTGGTCTTATGGGTAGAAGCAGGCAGTGGTAGGTGATCCTTTCCGAGTGACACAACCTAAAATGTATCTTGCATCCTGTGAACACCTTCAAAGAAGTCTTGCTCACTTCTGGGTGAAGCGTAGTGCATGTGTAGCTCCCACGGGTCCCACTGGTTCCCGCACTCTGAGTAGCCATCAGCCGGGAAGCTGACCCTGTCCCACAGCACCCTGAACCGTGCAGGTCTGCTGCTGAGTTTCCGTTACTCCTCTTGACCTGGTTCTTTCCACTTCGCGTCTGTGAGCTCAGCCTCAGAGTTCATAATGTAACCTCAGAGCGACTCGGTCGTGTGAATCAGGGCTGACAAGGAGATGAGGACTGTGAAGTCATGATCCTTCAGTTAGTTCCTCTAGGGCTTTGTTATCTGGAGCAGGATGCGCGTGTCTACAGCTGCTTTCTGGCGGAGCACGTGTGATGTGCCTTCTCCTACAAGGTGCCCTTTGGACTCGCGGGGCTCACATTAGAGTGTGCTCTCCTGGACCCTGTCCCAGCACGCTCCTGGGTTTAGTAGTATGGATGCTCAGTACTGTGGATGCCAAGGCTTCGCTGAGGGCTGGGGACTGTGAGCCTCTGGTTCTCTGGCACACCTTTGTATTGCTGCCTGCTCAGTGACGTAGTCTCTGTCTTCTGTTGCTCGCTCTCTGGAAGATCACCCTTGTACCTCACCTCCAGCCCTAGCAGATATTCTTTCCTCTTCTCATGTGATTGACAGATTCTTGATTTTTAAATCTACATTGCTGTCTGCTTAGCACAACAGTAGCGGAACCCTTCTGCCAGTACTTGTAGGGCAGGTTCAGCCATACACGTCTTCTGAATGGGCATCCGAGATGAGCACACACTTCTCAGAGAACGGAATTAAGGAAGCAAATAAATATATGAAAAAATGCTCCCCAGCACTAGCCATTCATGAAATGCAAATGAAAACAACACTGAGATACCATCTCACCCTAGAAAGGATGGCTATCATAAACAAATCAACCAACAACAAATGTTGGAGAGGCTGTGGGGAAAAGGGAACTGCTGGTGGGAGCGTAGACTGGTGCAACCATGATGGAAATCAGTGTGGAGACTCCTTAGAAAACTAGGCCTGGAAATCCCATTCAAGCCAGCTATCCCCCTACTGGGAATTTTCCCAGAGGAACTGAAAGTGTCATATCATAGTGATATATGTGTACCTATGTTTATAGCAGCACAATTTGTGATAGTCAGATCTTGGAAATAACCAAAATGCCTATCACATTAGGAATGGTTGGAAAAGATGTGGTATTCTTATACAACAGAGTATTACTCAGCTATAAAGAATGATAAACTTGAAGCATTTATATTTAAGTGGATGCCACTTGAAGATGTACTCATAAGTGAAATAAACCAGACCCACATGTGTAAATATTGTATGGTCTCCCTAGTATAAGAAATCAAAAGAAGAATACAAATAGAAAGGTATAACACAGCTAAAAGGAAAGTGAGAATTTGGGGACTAAACAACGAGGAGAGGATAAAGAGAAAAGCTAGGAAACAGGACAGGGACCAAGCCATACACTTGTATGCACAAGATGGGTAAGGCAATGATCCTGAGAATCTTCAGCAGGTTTTTGAAACTAGTAGTTAATTGGTAGGATTCTCGGGCCAGGGAGATGGCTCAGTGGTATAAGCGCTTCCCTGGCAAGTACAAGGGCCTGAGTTCAATCCCTGGTTCTGAAAAAAAAAATTGGTAGGATTCTCAACCTGACTAATTATATATGCTAATACCTGTGAACCAAGCAACTGCACTGAAGATAGCAATGTGTAATAGAAGGGTCATGCTTGGAATGCCTGTCATTCTGGCCTTCTAAATACATACTTCTTGTCATGACATACCAATTATTACCATACTGTCTTACAAGTAAATTTTTTTTTGTTTTTTGCTTTTCTTTTTTGAAATAGGTAATAAATGAAAAAAAAAGACACAAGAAAAAATAATGTCACAGGACTATCCCACTACAATGCTGTATATGGTTAGATTTCTAAAATTCTGTGTGAAAATATGTGTTTATTCCCATTTAAAATTTTTTTTCTTCATATTTCTGTAAGGACTTAAATTTCAACACATCAATACTTGATGGAAGATACCTGTTCCACATTATGCCTAAGATGTTCGATATTTAGACAGATAGGGTAAACCAAATTGCATAGGTTGCAGGATAATAATAAGCTTCTCTTCTGGAGGGTTAACAACCTAAGTTAGCAGTTCAAAATTGGAGAAAAGGAAGGGCTGCAAGGTCAGCCAACATTTTGGCCCTCGCCTTTCAAGGTCAGTGAAGACTCGGGACATAGGAGAACCTGTACTGTAACGACATGTAACTCAGTTGTGCTCCAAATTTTCTGATCAAGGAGATTATGGAGCCACAGAGGAATGTGATCGATGATTTACAGTGTGCCTGGGGAGAGTCACATGGAGAGAAAAGTTTCTCTCAGGCTTTCACAGAGAGCACATTGGTCAAGCAATGGCCGTGACTCATCCACATGGCTGACACTGACAAAGGATCTACAAAGTGCGGTACAGGGTTACAGGATAAATCCTGAGGGTACTTGACTAACCTTATCAGATACAAAAGTTACATTCCTTGTTATATAGGTCTTGCTATATCTTGGTCTTAACCGTCTAGCAGAAAAGTATAAAAACGAGGTATATAAAGTAAAGCCATATTAATATGCTGAGCTGTGAAAGGCTCTAGTCAACAACTTCTACAGACAACCCACTACTATTGTGGACTGCTGGACTATGTTGGATTATTTTGCTGAATTTACACACCTATAATATTTAGATGCCAATAGAATCCCCATCTCTGACAGGACTGAACTGGAGAGGGGGGATACAGAGGAAGGACCATTTTGTATTTGTATATACAGAATAGTCAGGAGAGATGTCCGGCTGCTTTCGCTTGGTTCAGTGAGAGGAAGGATTTGTAGTGGTAGTGTTTGGACGGGATGTCCTGGCTGCTTCTTGTTTTGTGGATGACCGCTGAGAAGATAACAATGTGCAATGCATTAATTATTGAAAATGTCTTATTAATCAGCTTGGAAGGTGTTTCACTGATATTTGTTTCTCAATAAAATAAAATAAATAAAATAAAAACATAAAAATAAAAAATAAATAAATAAAATAAATAAAAATAAAAAATAAAAAAAAACATATTTTCCAATTTGGAAAAAAAAAAAAGAAATTTTCTGTTCCCTGGGCTGCTCACCCTAGGGGCTATCACCACAGTCACCACTTGATGAGGTAGCTGTGGGTCCTCCAGAGAGGGCAAAGGTGGGTGGAGCAGAGGGTAGGACTCCAGAGCCTGACGCTGTGCCACAGTAGGCTGGAAGAACAAATGGGGCTGACCTTTAGGGGGTGCAGGCTGTGTACTAAGAGCTGTTGGCTGCTTTGTCACGGCACAAGTGTTGGCAGTGCCTGAAATGGTGGCTTTGCCAGGATGTGGGTTTGTTTGAGCCTTGGGTGCTGCTGGAGGTAACGAAGGCTTGGGCTGAACTGAAGGTTTGAGCTCACTAGGAATTTTTTCCTTGAGTCATTCCATTTTCAGTTTTGTTTCTAGGATCAACAGTGGGCTTGTCCTCCTTCAGTGGCTCTTTAGAGAATGGATTATTACAGGTACAAGGCAGGAAGAAATCTCTGGAAACTAGGAGGCCAGCCTGGCTGCTCACGAGCATGCTTGGCTGAAGAAGGAGAGTCCTCTACTGTGGAGAAAGCTGGAGAACACAGCCGAGGCGCTGCCTTGGTGCCCTTAACTGAGCAGGACTGGTGGTCTGTGCCCCCATGTGTGACTCCCAAGGGGCCACATCCAAGTCCGAGCCAAGATGACCACAATTGCTTTCCTAGGTTTCATTTGCTGCATCCAGTCGTGGCTCATCCATGTCTGGGAAATGACCAGGTTCAGCCGGGCTTCCTCTGGTCTGCGGGAGCCGGGGCTAGAGGGACCTCCCTGGTGGTGGCAGTGCCAGAAGCTCCCCAAACTCATGTCCCAGCACACAGTGATCGTGTGAGTTAAAAAAGGCGTTATGGTGAGAGACACAGGGCCATGGATCTCCTCAAAATCTTCCTTGTCGCTTTGAGTCACAGCCCATCATTCTTGCTCTTTTCTGAGGCAGATCCGAAAGTCCTCTTTTATGAGTGTTTTTCATTCCTGGCTGCCTCAATATCATGAATTGACTCAAAATATTTCCTTTTTTCTCGTCATGTTGACCTTGGGGAAGAAGCAGAGGTTTGCAGCAGCAGATCCTGTGAGTAAGGAGGGAGAGGACGCACCCTGACATGAGGGTCTGCGCTTAGCGGCGGCAGCAGCAGGCGCTGCACCGGCGATCACACCTCATAAGACGCTCACTGACGAGGAGTCCGGGATGGCTTCAGAGAGGGGCAGGGACAGTGGAATAGGTGGGCTCACGGTGAGGGGAGAATTCCACGGGGGATGTGGGGCATTGTGCTTTTTTTTTTTTTACACTGTAGTGAAGCTTGCAAAGGTAGACGTTCACCCAGGGTGTCGACCCTACCTTGGCTGCATATGTGTGGGTGTAGGGCAGGAGGTGGTTTTTCTGGTGACAAAAGTGGTAAAGGAACTCAACTTCCAACCACATTGTGGCTAGAGAGTTTAACCGGGCAATTTCTCACCTTCTCTTGAAGACACCTGGGCATGAACAGGAGTGATGGGCAGCAGAGCCCCTGATGGGCACACGTGCTTGTCCTTCACATTCTCCACGGCAAGTCAAGGGCAGCGAGTGGCAAGTATTTGGGCCCTAACTTCCTGAGAGGTCTCATGCATTGCCTTGTTAACAGGCACCAGGTATCAATCAAAAGGTTGATACCTTTTTCTGGGTACATTTTTGATATACATAATGATCACATTTATCGTGAAGAATTTGTAACTGTACATGTTATGTCTTTTTTTTTTTTTTTTTTGCGGTACTGGGGATTGAACTCAGGACCCTGCGCTCGCCAGGCAAGCACTTATTCTACCGAGCTATCTCCCCTGTCCCTTGTTCTTCTTTATTTCCCCATTTACCTCTCCTCCCTTCAACCCCTTTTTCCCACCAGCTGGCACTTTTATGTCCCTGTTTTCCAGATACAGGAACTGAAGCCCAGAGAGCTGATGCAAATCACTCAACTTGCCATTAGGTTCCCAAGCGGGGACTTGAACCACAGCCACCAAATCTGTGTCCATCGGTGACCATGTGTGAGCACAGCAGATCATGCTGTCCACTGGCACTTCCACATCTGTTACCGCCTTAAGAGTGAGGTGCTTGCTTTGCTTTTGATTATAGGCACTTAGAAATCGGGATGGGAGGTGGCTCATGAGAGTCAGGCATCTACACGTGGGGGTGTGGGGGTGACAGGAGGAGAATGGGGACACCCAGAAGGGGCTGTAGGGGTACAGAGGCTTGAGTGTGATCCTAAGCGAAGGGACGAGCAGCTGTGCCCCGGGGACATTGATGAGACAGGAGTTAGGTAAGGGGCTTGGGCCAACATCCAGGATGGAGGAGGCAAAAATGAGTGAGGGCAGCTGAAAAATCACAAGTACAGTTAAACAAAAAATAACTTTCATGAAGTTTTAAGTAAGGCAGCCTAATTTGCAAGGAACAAGCACCCTGCATAAAATTACAAGCAGCCACAGACTCTGGAGGGGAGCTATTGGAACCAGAAGCCCAGCACCCAGTTCCAGCCTCTGCACCCTGCAGGCGGTCCAACAACACCAAGGTTGTTGGCTTCGGGGTAAATGTCTGTTTTGTGTCTCAGAAATCTTAGTTAGTGAAGAGAACAGTAGAATAGGGTATGGTAACCCCGGCCCTGCTCTGCTCTGATGTCCTGTCCATCTGGAGGGGCATTTGGGGAGACTATATAGGAGAGGAGAGGAGAAAGGGTGTGTTTTCTAACAGATACATGGCACTAGTGGGGCTAGGCCTAAAGCCCCAAGTTATGTGCCTTAACTTTATCAATAATCTGTAAAGTGTCCCTGGATTCTGTACGTGTGGATTCAACCAGTTTGAAATAAATTTTTTTAATTGCTTTCATGCTGAGCATGCATAGACTTTTTCTTGTTACTATTGTCCAAGCAATACAGTGTAACAATGTACATAGCATCTATGTCGTATTAAATATTATGTGCAACCTAGAAGCATTTAGACTTGGGCACTGTGTGCAGCATCTACACACATACTAGTATTTCACATGAACAACTCGAACACCGGTCTTGGTATCCGCAGGGCGGGGTGGGGGCTACCCTGGAGTCCACTCCTCAAGGACACCAAAAGGCAGCTGTACCAGCACTGTCTTCACTTTATAGATGGAGAAATTGCGAGGTTTATTTTCAAGTGGTACCATCAATACGTTGTAGAGTGAGAATTTAACTTCTGCTTGGTCTGACTGAGCAAAAATCTCTTCTCCATTCATTTTACTTTGTAATTAAGTTCGTATATATATGAATATCCATGGATATGATTGTAAAGAGCAGGATGATTTTCTAAGATTGTAGAGCTGCGTTTTTCAGTCTATTCAATGTGGAATTTTCCACATTGTCTACTAGCATTTTGATGTTTATGTCACTGCACTTACAATAACAGCAACCACAATGAGAGACAGTAAGAACCAAGTACATGCTATATTCCAGGCATTGTTCTAAGGGAATAGCTTTTCGTTTGTAACTTGCACTCAACCTTGCAAGGTCATTACCAGCCGTATCAAGTTCCTTCTACAGGTGAGGAAAGCGAGGTCTAGAGAGCTGTGGTAACTTGCCCATCTCCATCTCCTCAGATGGAGGCGCTGATGGAAGAAGACCGCTTGGAAGGTAGGGAGAAGTCTGTGTCTTGGTGCAGACCCAGCGCCACTTGAGGAGTGCAGAGAAACCGTAAAGCAGCAGTTTTGAAAGTATTGCTCCCTGGACCAGCTGTGTCAGACCAGCATACACCAGGAACTTGTTCAAAGTGCAAGTTCTCAGCCTCGTTGTAGGTCTATTGTGCCAGAAGCCACAGGCGGGACCCAGCCATCTGGCACCTGGGAAGTTCTCTGGGATGTTGACATCGTACAAGTGAAAATTACAAGACACCTTGTCTGCGCAAGCGTCCTGTTTCATGCAGGAAGGACCACAAAGTGCTACTTACTTTTTTCACACCGAGGTCCGTATTTGTTGCGGTCAGAGCAGAACTGGCAGTGGGAGCCATAGAAGCCATCCTTGCAAATGCACGTCCCGTTGCCACTGATGCCGTCTGCACACTGGGAGGAAGGCAGGCCCCGCGGGTGATTAGGAAGGACACAGGTGCTGGGGAAGGACTTACAGACGCTTTCAGTTCATGCCTGCCTGTGGACTCAGACCCAGTCCCACTTGAAATGATCTCTGGGCTCTGTGGGAGTGGCCGTGGTGTCAGGCAGGTCACACGTAGGCATCCTGACTCAGGATTTACAACTTTAAGGGGTCCCGGTCAAGGGAGACCCAGTGGTGGGCCAAGCACCTTCACACTACACTCCAGGGACGGCAGAGATGGGTCAGAGGCCTGTGGCCGCGTGCCTGGCCCCTCCCACCTCTGTCCTCTCGCTTGCCCCGCTCTGTGACTGCAGCCTGCACACTCTCCTCTCTCCAGTGGGAAGTATATTTGTCTCGCATCTGCTCAGCCCTGGCCAGGGTCGTATGCATTTCCTGCATCAGAGTGGGGCACAGGCTGCTGGCTCACTCGGCCACAGCCACTGGCTCCGGCCTCTCGCTTCTGTATCTCCTACGGAAAGGCCACACTCTTCTTTGTGGTTTTGTTTCCCAGCACAGGAGCCAAGCTTAGACGCGGGACTGTAAATGTCCCGCTCACCATTTCTCCACAAGATCCATGGCTACTCGGCTTTCTGCTGTTTACCTTCAACCTCCAAGTTAGAGGGTCTTCACGTGCTACTAGGTTTGACCGAGTGGCAGTGTTGTTATTAGGAGTGTCATAGACCCCTGGGCCCTGATACCTTCCACAGGTAGGATGTGCGTGCGGTGCAGAGGGAGGCCTGGCAGTGGGCGGCAGGCAGGCCAGAATGGAGGCCCACCCCCTCCAATAACAGGATCTCCCTTAATGTGGACTCCTGCTGTGCTTGCAGGACGGATCTCTCTCTTTTACCTCACGGAAGTAGTGGCCATCATCATGCCAGCTTTGGCTGTGGCAGTTTTAAGAGTCCTTGTTCCACTTGGGCTCAGAGGGGCTGGCCTCAGCATTCAGGAAACCGCATTCTCACGCAAGTGACTGTCCTCTCACCTGTCCATTTCCTGAGCAGGGATTCGAGAAGCCTCCTGGACACTGGCTGCAGTCGGGCCCGTAGAAGCCTCTGCAGCACTCTGGGACCTGGGAAGCAACAGTGCGTGTGACCCTTTGAGTCCCCCAAGGGGCGCCCAGTCCTCCAAGGAGACACATTTTGGTTCACACTGTTACAGTAAGCACAAGCCCCTCCTCGGGGTGGTCTTTTCCTTTGGCACCTGATGGCAGGGCTAGTGCTGGCCACCAGCAATCCATAATCACCTTCGACAAATGCCACCTGGCTTTGGCACTGCGCTCCGGACTGAGGAAGGCGGCGCACAGGGAGCCTGAGCTTGTCAGGGGGGAGTCAATATGGAAATTAAAAGAAGCAATTAAGTAATTGAGCTCTTCCAGAGAGTGATGAGTACCAGGAAAAACAGCGCTACAATCAGTTAGTGGGGCAGAAACAGAAGTCGGGGGAGACTGGGGAGGCCGCTGGAGATCAGGCGGGGGGCAGTGCTGAGTGCATGGGAACGTGAAAGATGCACGAGCCTTGGAAACCAGGAAGAACGTTCTGGAAATGAACAGTATTTGTGCTTTCTCTAAGGCAAGAAGATGGGCAACACAGGGGTGGATGCAGGCGGAGTGAGGGTGTGAGGGGACAGGGGCGGAGTGTGGGGACCTGGGGACACAGGGAGGGGGTGACCTGGCCAGCCTGAGGGAAGCCACCCTCCCGCGCTCTTGCAGGAAGTGCTGCGAGCCCTGCGGGCCTCCTGGGCCAGTGCAGACCCTGGGCTGGCGGAGGCCGGCCACACTCTCCTTACCCTCACGGTGCCATTGCAGTACCGGGCACAGCCAGCCCTCGGGGTGTTGGTTTTGGTGTTGTAGACACAATTGCGAGTGAAGAGCGCCTGGAAGGGAGCCAGAGGGCAGGAGCAATGCGGTCTGCAGTCCCAGCCCCGGGGAAAGTGAGGCCGCAGCTCAGGGCCACAGGACCACTCTGGTGAGGCCTGCATCCTTGCTGGTGAAACACTGGCAGGGCGGGCTTGCAGGACCCGTGGCCCACATCATGGTGGGCATCTCTAAGTGACCAGGGAGCACCTTCTGGTTCTGCCTCCTTTCCCAAACTGCAGCCGCCCCAACCCTCCTGTGCAGACCCCTTCAAGTCAGTCTGTTTCGTGGGAAGATCCTCCCAGTTGGGAGCCGGGGAGATGGCTCAGTAGAATAAGTGCTTCCCTAGAAGATCCTCCCAGTCACACAGTGAGAGATGGAGGTTTTTCTTGAAAGCTTAACCCTTGGTACAAGACGGAGTCACCTAGCACTTGTACGTAAGGCGAACTCACCACGGGCCGCGCACACTGCTTACACGGTTCGTCGATCTTCAGTTCCACGTGGAGGTTTTCTTGGTATGCATTTGTTTAGTTTTGTGGTTCTGGGAAGCAAGTGCCCTAACACCGAGCTATACCTCAGCCCCTCAAGAGCTTTTTTTAATAGCTAAAGAAAGACCCCAATGGATAAAACGTTTCCCCGCTAAGAAACACTGTTAATAAGTGCCAGGTCAGACTTAGGCATAAAACCTGCTAATTTTAAGGTCGCAGGTGGCTCACAGCCTCTCTGCTGGTCTCAGCAGCCTAAGCTGGGAGCTGGAAGCACGGGGCCGACATCGGGTTTCATCATGAAAAGATAAACACTTACGTCAAGTTTACTCCTTTCTCCTAGGGTCTTGCTCACTTCTTAGTGAACAAGAGGGGCTGGGGAGACAGCTCGATGGTCTAAGCACCTGCCTGGCAAGTGCAAGAACCCGGGTTCGATCCCCCAGTACTGCATTCCATGCCAGCCCTGTGCTGAACCGGCCACTGAGACCCTGTGTGTAGTGCATGCCTGTAATCCCAGCACTGGGGAGGCTGAGACAGGAGGATCTCTACGAATCCAAGCTGTGTAGTGAGACCCTGATCCCTGGGCTTGCAAAGCAGGCACTTAGTCTACTGAGCTATCTCACCAGCCCTTAAAAAGATTTAAACAAAAAAACAGAAAACCAAAAATGAGCAAGAGAAGTTCCCGGGCTATATAATCCCAAGGTATTAGATAGATCAAGGGATTCTGAAGTCACTGAAGAGGAGGACACTTTTGTCATACTCACCGTGGGCTCTGAGCCAGCAGGACAGTTACTTCCAGACATTAAAATACAGTTCACACAGGAGCCCTGGAGGGAAAGACGCAGTCAGTGCACGCTCCCTGTGGAGGCCATGGTGCGGCCTGGTCCCAGACTCACTTCTGCTTGAGGAGAGGGCTCTGTGGGGCACCCTCCCAGCCCCCAGGACTTCTCCTCAGCACCCAACTGGGCTGGGCTTAGGGACAGGACAGAACCTGCTCTGAGCGGTCCCTCCTCTTCTACTTCTAAACAGCTCCCTGTCCACAGGCCACGGAGGAACCTGTCCCTGAGGGACACTGTGGTTGTCACCCGTGTCAGGAAGGGAGGCAGTGTGCACCTCTCTCCAGAGCTTTTCTCTGGCCTTTTCTACCTGTACTGGGCCCCAGCAAGCAGACTATGAAATGTGGTCTCTCGCTTCTTGCCAGCTTCACATTGGTTCTGGCCAATGCAAGACACAGTAGGGTCTCTGTGGGTAGTTGGAGAGCAAAGTTGAGGATCTCTTTCCTGTGCCCTCTGTGCCTTCGCACTAGCCCTGACACTCCTGAAGGACACCCCCTTTTCACATCCCTGAGTTCAAGCTACTCTGCCTTTCCCAGGGGCTTTGGTTCAGGGTGCTAATGGCTACTGCCACTCCCTGGATATCTTGGCACGATGTGCATTCTTAGGTCCACTCACAGCTCACTGTGGGCCCTCTTCCTTCACGTCTCATTGCTTGGTGTCACAGATAAAGCAATCATCAATTACATAGGTGCTGCTTCCTGCAGGGACCCTGAGTAGTACAGTGGTAGTTATTAAACTTCTGTAGCCCCACATTCATGTCCGGAAGCGGCTGGCAGTTCAGCCAGGTCAAAACAGAAGATTCTAGAAGGTCCCAGCTGCTCCCATTCTTGGCTGGTCCTAAATGCAGGCTTCCCAGAGGATCTGTGTGGACTTACAACAGATCCAACCCAAGTGTCCTAACCTGGGCAAAAAGGATAAGTTTGCCTTTAAACCTAGATATCATAATCAGCAGCAGAGGAATGCTCCATTCTGAGGCAGCTCTGACAAGTTCTTTTCTCTATCTAACCACAATTTGTAGGATTTCAGCTCAAAGCTACGTGTTGAGGCGGTCCTTCAGGGAGATGAGAAAAAGCTCTGAACCATCTGAATCAGAGCAACCTTGTGCCAGACGGGTGCTGGGCTTCCAAGAGTCCCTTCTAGGGACCTGAATGGCAGCCGCTGGGGTGGGGGCATTCTGACGAACATGGTGAAACCCTGGCCACTCTCTGCAGCCTGTTCTGAGCCTCACCCTGCTCTCAGCTGGGCCGTGCACTGGCCAGCGCCCATTTCTAAAGAATGAACCAAACACGCATCACTGCTGGGGATTGGTGAGGAAAGTGCCTGTTTCTTCATTTCTTGAAAAAAGAGTGATCAAAGTAAGATAAAACTCCCCCAAAGGCATCTGATGGCTCCACTTACGTCGTTGATGAAAACATGTTGGCATCATTCTGTCAGTTAAGAACTTGTAAATCAAAAAGTCCTCTATAGTCATTTGCCGGGTGCTTAGCTAGCTATTTCTAGCCCTCACCAAAATAAAATAAAACCAGGCTCTTCCCCTTCATATACAGCGTTTACACTCTAAAGCTATCTTGAGTGCAATCACTGCTGTATTATTGAAGTGTCCTGAAAAGAAAGACCTAGGCCACGATTTTAGGGTTGTGCTTTCCGAAGGAACTTACAGATTGCAGGTAGAGCAAGTTTGGAATTCAGCGTGCTTTGATTAAAATTGCCTGAGCAAAAAAACAAAAAACAAACAAACAACCCCCCCCCAACCCCCAACAACAACAAAAAAACTGCTGTGGAAACAGAAAAGGCTGGTGGAGGATCTAGAAGCTCATGGAGAAAGAGTCTGGTATTTGAAAAGAACTCCAGAGAGATGGTTGAGCCCTAGAGCAGTACATCTACAAGGAAGACGCTGGAGTCTTTCTCAGCACAGGGAAAGCCCTGGAGGAGGGTGGCCCAGGAAGAGGCAGGATACTGATTCAGAATCCATGGGGGAATAATCTGCTCCCCAGCGCCATGGTGTCATAGGGAAGGTATAGGTAGAATAGGCTCTCTCTGATGGTCTATGCCCCCCGAGCCTCGGAACGCATGCTTATTGGGAAAGAGGCTCTTCGCAGACCGAGTTAGGTGAGGTCGAGGGAGGGTGGCAGGACTCTCAGGCCCGGGAGCAGCAGGCTCTGTCTGGGGCACTTGTTCTCTGCATTTTCCTTATTGTCTTACCATTTTGATCTCACTCTTTGTTTCGTCACATCGGTGGGGCAGGATGGGAATGATGGAGGGAGGGAGGAGAACGCTGGCCAGCGTGTAAATGTGGCCATTTTTGGCAGTGACCTCAGTGTCTTCCACGGCCACACCGTTTGCCAGAATCCGTCCCTGGAAGGAAGCAAGAACACCTTTCCTTCTGGACCTCAGGAGAGGACGAGCCCATGCAGAGGTGAGTCGGGGAGGTGTCCCTGAAAGCTCCACTGTATTGTTGTGAACTTGTCCCCTGCAGGAATCCTGCGTAGGGAGCGCATGGAGACGGGAGACACCTGACCCGTGCAGCGAGCTCCTGAGCAGCCAGGCAGGGGTCTCAGCTGGCAGAAATGGCCTTGCCCTTAGAGCTAGGAAAGAGGCTGACACACTCCAGCCATGGGGTGCCTTTGCAGGAAAACAGCTGTAGCCCTGCATGGTGACGCGAAGCGTCTGCTGCTCTGGAATGAGCACCCGTGCAGCCTCGTGGGACACGTCGGCGAGAAAGCGGACGGATTCTTGTGGGGAGCAGAAAGGGAGTAAGTGAGCAGAGACTTCTCGCCCGCTTTCTCCAGACCTGAGTCCTGGTAGCGTGAGAGCGGGACCCCTGGGATGTCGTCCTCACCACCCCTGCAGTCTATCAGCAAATCTTGCTGGCTCAGCCTTCAAATGTGTTCCCGATTCAACCACTTCCTGGCAGGGTGCCACACTGTTCTGGTCTGACTCACAGTCACTCTTACTGGGCTACTGCAACCAACTCTAATGCATCCCCCAGGATGCGGCCACCTCCCAGCATCCTCTCCTGCAATCCTCAGCTAGTTCCTGTCTCTTGTGAGCAAGAGCCCACGTCCTGCCTGACTTCCGAGGCCACCACTAGTGGGCTGAGCCCTTCCTGTCCTTCCATGCCCCTCTCCTCCAGTTCGCCCCTCTCCTCCCCCTTTTATGCCCACCCCACTTTCCCCTCCCCTCCTCCCTTTCTTGCCCCCCTTGTCCCCTCCTCCACTCCCTTCCTTTTGTGCAGTTCTGGTTCTGGCCATGCCATCTGCTTCCTCACACAGCCCTTGCCCCATGCCCTTGCTCTGTCTCCTCTCGGTCCCCAGAGTCACGCACTGTGCCGCCATTTCCTTCCACTCCTGGCTCAGGCGTTTCCTTCCTTGTGAGACTTCCAGCCCTTTATCTGAAATGTCAGTCCCACCCCTGCTTTGTGTCCCCACCCGCTTTGCTGCTTTTCTCTCTCTGGCTCCATGACTCTGACATGCTTCCCTTATTTCACTTTTCTGTCCAGCTCCCTTGGTCTGTCTGTTCATCCGTCTTCAGGACCTAGAACAGCACCAGGAGCCTGGGGCCAGGCTCAGTGCAAAGGATGAGACCATCATGCCACCTTCAGGGTGGGGTCAAGAGGACACGGTGTGGCTGCGCTGCTGCTGCTGCGTCCATCCCAGTGCTTGCCGAGTAACGCTGCCCCCTCTGGGCTCTGCAGATGACTCATCTGCCCTTTATCCAGGGGCTCTCTCATCTGCAGGACCTGTGCCCTGCTCATTTCTGCCAAGTTCTTCCTACCCACCCTCCCCCAAAGCACAATGGAAGCACCCCCCAGGCCCTCTGGCCATAGATTCTCTCGGATGCCTGCTGTCTGGGCTCACAGTTCCCTGAGCTTCCTACAGCCACCACCGGTTGAACTGTAGCTGTGTACTTCACTGACCCAGCAAGAGGTCTTTAAAACCTGTCTCTGCTGCTCATTGTGCTGCTTTACCCTGGAATCTGGTGCATGTAGTTGTCAGTGATATTTGCTGACAGTGGTGAGCATGAGCGAAAAGGCCGTAAAACTGTTTGGTAGGGCAGAATAGGGCGCCAGAGCACATGCAGAGCCTAGACCCAGGGACCCCTGACCCAGTGGACCAGTGCCACCAGCCCTCGCTCACATTGCTGGTGATGTTGAACTTTATGATCTGGTTGGCCATGGTCCGGATCTGCAGCGTCGAGATGAGGGTGGCCACTTCTAGCTGTGAGGACAAGAGCACACGGGGAACACTTGGAGCCACCCAGGGCTTCCTGATTTCCTACAGTGCTGACTGAGGCGAAGAATCCCTGTGAAATTTATGGGATAAGTAATGGGGTCTCTGACGTCTGGTGGTGGTCCTGGTTTGGAGGGTTTCTTTGATAAAAGACCCTTTATTCTTGGCTGAGGACTAGCTCAGAGCCACAGGTAGACAACAAAAGCCACACATTCACTACACCAAGACACTGGGGTTCTTCGATCCCTGGGCCTGCTGTGCCGGCCCGCCCCCAGGGCATGCTGAGATGGCAATTGAGACTGGGTGTGGTGGCGCACGCCTGTAATCCCAGCTCTTGGGAGGCTGTAAACAGGCAGATCACTATGAGTCCGATCTAGGAGTGAGACCCTGAACACCCTGTAGACCCTTCCCAAAAACACAAACAAATTAAAAAAAAAAACCAAAACAAAACAAAAAACCCCAAAAACACACTGGTATTTCAAACTGGGCCCAGGTATCTCAGAAGTGGGGAACAGTAGCTATAGGAAGAGGAAGGCCAACCTGAGTAGACGGGATGATGTGGTGTCTGACGAGTTCCAGAAGCTTCTGAGAACCCTGCATAGAATCCAGAAGATGTTCGTCAGTAAAGGAAACTGCCTCTTCTCCTTCAAATGACTTTGAACGCTTAACCATAAAAATAAGTGACTCATAACCTCTCTATTGGGAAATCTAGAATGAGAAAAATCACCTCTCCCTAACAGCTCCATTTCACCAAGTCTGTACCCTGGATGGGGGCCGATCTCAAAGCAGCATGCGTATTTCCTACGATCCTCCCCACGGCCCTGAGGGCTGGGCCCGCTGCCAGCCTGTTTTATGTGTGACGACATGGACTTCCAAGGGCAGGCCAAGGTTACAGAGCTAACAGTCTCCTTTCTGGGGAGAACATGACAGAATTGAAGGCCTATGGTCCATAAGGAAAGAATCATAGTGGAACATGATGAAGCAGTATAAGAGAAAGTGTAGAGCACTTAAATGAACATTTGTTTCTGGCTTTCTTACTTTGATGATCATTCTCTAGGTGGGGTTAGAGTTATAGGGAACTTCACATGTTGATTTTAGGACTGTGAAATATTAGAAGAGCCAAGGCAAATCAAGTCAAGTACCTAGTCTTGGGGTTGTAAATAAATTTCATTTCCTTGCCCTGTCAGAGCTATTTGGATTTTCATCAAGGAGACTGAAGTCATATCTAGGATTAGTTCCAGGGTGCTGCAATAGATTAGTGATGTCTGTCTTGGTTTTAGGAAGGCAGGTGGTGGTACATGAGCTACTCATTTGCTAACCCCAGTTTAGAGAAAGCCTGCAAGACACAGACTGGGGCAGTGCCACTGACCCAGTGCCATCAGAGTGAGCAGGATGCAATACCTCAGGAGAAAGAAGGAAATGAAGATCATCATTCTTCATGCTGTTCAGTGCTCCATTACTTGGAAGAAAAACGGTGTATGGTCCACCAGCCCCGTTCTCATCTAACGTACTTTTTAAGTTGGTTTTCTGCATTTGAGAAATGACACTTTGTACCTGGGATCTAACTCAGATAATTATTTGCCATCACTCTCAGACAGTGTTTATAGCTGACATCTCTGCTCACGGTACACAAGACTCAACTCGCACACTCAGCATCTTCCAGAAACTCCCGGAAGGTACTAACCTCCACCAGAGCTCTGAACCGGCTGTATCTGGGCGGTATCAGTGCCATTATGGTTTTCTGAAAAGAGACATTTTTGCTTTAAGAACCAGTAAAAATATAAGAATGTGGCTCTGGATATAAAAATTTTAACATAAACAGCAGTATAAATCCTAACACAAATTACAGTTGTGGATTCATGTAAGGGGACCTGATTGGCTGCCCTACATCATGCAGATATTGTTACTTAAATAATGGTTGAAACCTGTGTATTCTGAGTGGCCTTGGCCACTGCCCTACAGATCAGAAAGGACTATTTGATCCCAATGATGACTGTTATTCTCTGCAAAGCATGAGGAACACATTGCCATGACAGTGGGCCACTGAGGGGGGTGACTGATGTGGGCATAAGAGATCTTTAAATATCCGAATTCTTGGGTCTGCCAAATAGCTCAGTGGATTAAAGTGCCTGCAAGCGGGTATAGGGGCTGAGGGTTCGACCCTGGGCCTGACATGCCGGCTCCACCCCTGGGCGCACTGAGATGACAATTGAGACTGGGTGTGGTGGTGCAGGCCTGCAGTCCCAGCTCTTGGGAGGCTGTAAACAGGCGGATCACTATGAGTACAATCTGGTAGTAAGACCCTTAACACCCTGTAGACTAAAAATACCAAAAAACAAAAAAATTCAAACTTCTTCCAACACACACACACACACACACACACACACACACACACACACACACGTTTTCCTTTTCCTCTGGAGAAATACTCAGAATTCTATTGAAAACAGATAAATCATTAAGACTTCTTAGCTTGAGGTCTCTTTGTAAAAGGGACAAGTACATGGAGCTGGTGAACACTTCCTTCTGGACGTGTTTCCTCACAGAACAAAGAGAGATGGGTCGGGTTCACATCACGTCTACCTGAAGCATCTCACCTCGGAGTTGCCCTCAAAGGTGGGCTTTATCTTGTCCATGGCTGTGTCGAGGATGTGTATGAGCCCGTTGGCAGCAATGATGTTTCCCTCTATAACTGTTACCTTCTTTTTACCTGCATGAAGTTCAAGCCTTAATTGATTGTCCTAAAATACCAAAGAAAGATAAAATAAAATTAATGTGATACCCTGGAAGGAGTAAGCACTGGACCAGAAGCCAAAAGCCCTGAGTCCCTGGGATCTGCTCCCTATGAGCTATGAGATTTGGGTAAGTTAAATAATTTAACATGGAGGTAAAGGTGTCGGGTTGGTTGACCTCACAAGGTTTTCATTAAGGTTGACTGAGATGGCGTGTGGAAGTGCAGATGACCTTGACAGGTAAATGTGGACAAAGTCTTATGACGCCCTCCTCAGGTGACCTGCCCAATCTGTAGGACTGAAACTCCCCGCAGATGTCGCACTGGCTTTGGTGGTGCATGGAGAAGGCATGCTGAAGAGGGGTTGCATGAGTGAAGGGAGCTGATTACTTTTTCCGCCTATGTGGCTCCTTCAGGTTCCAGACTTGGTAAATATTTGTTGAATGAATAAGTGAATGTATGTCTGTCCATGTAAGAAAGGAAGCCATATCTTCTTATCTGTCATACATGATTCGTCTGTCCTGCTATCTGTCTGTCTATCTATCTATCTATCTATCTATCTATCTATCTATCTATCTATCCATCTATCATCCATCCATCCATCTACTCACCCTTATCCCTACAGTGTAGCTGAACAGTTGCCGCTATTGGCTTTGGAGTCAAGATGAAAGGAAGCCATGTCATCATATCTGTCATCCATCATGCCAACCACCTCACTATCTATTTATTTGTCCATCCATCCAAACATCCATCCATCCATCCATCCATCCATCCATCCTTCCACCCACTCACCCATCCATCCACACATCCATCCATCCATCCATCCATCCACCCACTCACCCATCCATCCACACATCCATCCATCCATCCCCTCACACACCCACCCACCCACCCACCCTCACACCTACACAAGGTGACAGCAGTGAGCTTTGGAGTCAGGCTGACTCACACTTGGATGCTGGATTTGCCATTACTGTGTGACCGCTCCACTTTCCCCTAGGGAGAGCAGGGGGTATGATAGGCCCTCTTCCACAGAGGCACTGTGTTTTTCCTAACAGAGATACAGATGCATCCCTGTACTTAGCATGGGCAGCACACCCAGTGATATATCATTTATCACTATTAGGGAAAATACACTAGCACAGCCGTGGCCCCACACACATTCTGTTGATTAATCACTTGCTCTGCACATAGTAGAGTCCCAGAAAGAGTATTGGGTTTATTCAAAACCCCACAGAACTAAAGGTTCCAGGAGAGACAGAGCACTAGCTCTACAACCTAAAACAAACACAGCCTTCATTCTTCTGTAAGAGGTGGCTGACTGCTGGCTGGCTCTGCGCGGGGGCTTCTGGGAAACAGGGTTAGAGCAGCTCATCTTTCTGTTGTGATGGGAACAGCAACCTTGAGAACTGCATCAGGTCAGACTAACTCCCAACACTGTGCAGCCTGTGTTAGGAACCACGCCCCTCCCTTTCCAGCCCTGGTGGTAGTTCCTGCTTCATTTTACACAGAAGGTATTTGACAAAGGAAGGACAAGGAGGGAAGTTCTTTATAACCATCCACAAATCCAAACACACAGAGCAAAGGGGCTTCTGGCACTCACGTGGTGGTTAGTTTGTTCCCCTCCAGGAAGCTCAGCAAAGTCCTTACCTTGTCTCGGTTGAAGATCCTCCCTGGAGCCCCGGTCAGTGTGTAGAAGGTGTCGGTGTTGTTCATTTGCTCCATGCTCATCTGCCCGGCAATGATGTGGAGCTTCACAAATTGCCGAGCAGCTGTGGGATCCAGCAGCAGCTCTTCTACCTGTAGGGAAGGAGGTCTCTAAGTGTAAGCCTCTGCCTTAGGCAGCACAGCAGGTGTCAAAGCCAGAGCACCCCGAGAGGCACGCTCTTTGGACTCTTTCACAGTGTGGGCCACCTGGGTGGGGCCTCAGAGAGCATGGGAATCTAGAGAGGTCATGTCTTGAGTCACCAGAGGCTGTGGCAGTTGACGGACAGGTGCAGCACCAGGAGGGTCTGTTGAGTGATGGGCACTCAGGACTCTCTCTCGAGCCCAGGAGGATGGGCAGGAAACATGCTGGAGATTTGAGCAAAATACAGGTAGAGTAGGCTGTGGGTGCTTCTGAGCAGTCAAGCTTTCTGAAGTCTACACTTTGTTACCAGTACATGGTCAGCAGTCACTGAGCAGGTGCTTCTTCTTAACTCTGTGCCAACTCCACGTTCCTAGCTGGAGCCCCCTTTCCTCCTCCTCCCCAGTGGGAGAGACACGAGGTCTCCCGAGATCGCCCCCAGATGCCTCATCCAGACAGATAAATGGTGGTGAGTACAGGGCATAGTAGAGAAAGTGACCCTGGGGCTCACTGGGATTGGATTCCATGTGGCAAAAGTCATTATCACTGCATCTCGGATTAAGCTAACCCATTGGCAAGACCATTATTTACACTACACCAAACGGGACCAGTTCATTGCGCTTAATGCCAATGGGCACTGCCACCCGACATGAGTTTAATTCCCACTGGATGACTTCATCTCGAACACCAGCTGCTCACACTGAAGAGCTAATTTTTATTTTTATTGCCTCTAACACTGGTGCAATTTATGACAATTTTGAAGAAACAAATGCCTGGCTAATGCATTCATTTTATTCTTCTTGCAGGACATGAGGATTTTATGTTCACATAAATCTTATTTATCACATGACTATGTGATTAGAACCTGCAGCATTTTCCCTTGAATAGACTGTGATTGGAAGAGGGGTTGGGGGCTTCTGGAGTGCTGGCCACGGGCTCGCTGCTACACAAGCCCTTCTACCTCGGCGAAATTCACTGAGTTTTATCCTTATGATGTGTGTACTTTCCATAAGGATTTGTCACTCAAAGAAGCTTATCAAGTGCAGCAGTTTTCATTCATACATGGAAGCTAGGAGTTGATTTCATAGAAGGTAAAGAGTACAATACTGATCCCCAAAGACAAAGAGGACAGAGAGACGTGGGGCTAAAGAAAGGGCAGGTGATGGATACTGATGTATGAGGTCGGATTAAACTGTACGGTGAATGTTAATATGAAAACATTTTTTTTAAGGTACCAGGGATTGAACTCAGGACCCTGCACTTGCCAGGCAAGCACTTAGTCTACTGAGGAAAAACAGTTTATTACAGTAAAAGACACACTGCCATGATAGCACTTTGACAGCGCTCCCCATACAACCGGCGTGCTGAGCCCAGCACTCCTGCCCCCTTCTGCAGCAGACCCGGAAGCTCTCTCCTGGGAGTCTCTGGCTCTGCGACTCCTTGACACCCTGTGTCAATACACAAATGTTTACCTTTCATGCTTATTCTGACTTTGGGGGAGAGCCAGAAGTAACACAGTGTCAGCTCTGGGGAACAAGGCAGAGGAGGATGCCCTGCTGCGCGTCTATGAGCTGCCTCTGTGGGAGGGCGCCCGGCAGGCAGCAGGGCTCACACACATTCTTGATCACACCTTGCAGAGCCATTCATGCAAGAGGACTTCCAGGGCTGCTTTAGAAAATGGCAAGAATGAAGGGATACGTGAAGTGAGGGGTGGTACTTGGAGGGAGAACCAGTGGCAGTGCATCTTTCACTGTAATAAAATTTATTTAATATAAACCTCCACCATATATTTTGAGCATGCCTCATACAGGGAGGAGAATAAGTTCTAGTGTTCTACAGCTCAGTAAGCTGACTATAGGATAGTTTAGAATATATTTTATTATTATTTTTTGTATTTTAGGGAACGGTCTACAAGATGTTCAAGGTCTCAGTACTAGATAGAACTAGTAGTGATCCACCTGTTTACTGCCTCCCAAGAGCTGGGATTACAGGCATGTGCCCCCACACCCAGTCTCAATTGCCATTTTAGTACACTGCAGGGGCAGGGCTGGCACAGCAAGCCCAGGGATTGAACCCTCAGCCCCTGCACCTGCTTGCAGGCACTTTAATCCTGAGCTATTTGGCCGGCCCTTATCATATATTTTATAAAGAAGCAGAAGACAGACATTTGTTGAAAGGGATGGAAAAGCTAACTATCCTGACTTGATCCTCACACGTTGGTGTCAAAGTATCACACTGTACCCCCAAATATGTACAATTAGTACATGCCAATTAAAAATGGAAAAAAGTTTGCTGAAAACTCACCATCCTTATCATCAGCAGGGTTAGCGTCAATAGAAGGTTCCCACTTTAAGTGAAGGGCCCTCTGTCCTGCTGTCTGTCCTGCTCTCTGTCTCTCTGCCTCTGTCTGTCTCTCTCTCCCACCCCAACATTACTGCAGTGCTTCTGTTTCTCCACAATGCAGTAATATCTGAGTGGAAGCTGCAGCAAAATATGATGGGTGAAAAGGGGCGACGTAATCCCTGTGGGGCAGACTGCGAGTGACCCGGGAGGAACTGAATTGAGTTGTTGGAGGAAGAGAGACGGGATTAGCGAGTTGGAGACAGAGACACAGAGAGGTAGAGACGCGTTGGCAGTACGTCCAGCACAACATGATGACAGATTAGCAGGTCAGGAGTTTTGATTTTATTTGCCGTGTGGTGGAGGAATAATTGTAGAGCTCAGACTGCAAGGTTCTGTGATCTCCGCTCTGCTCATCCACAGTTCAAGTTAGCTGCTTTGTGAGCAGTGCTTTTTGTAGATGGAAATGAAAACGAGAGAGATGTCAGAAAATCATCTTAATAACTCATATGGAAAAATAAGCTGCATGATGCAAAGTTAATACAAGGAATGGAAGAAAATTAAAAGATGAAAAAATAAAAGAAAATTAAAAGAACCCTAATAAGTGACCTCATGACATTGACACTTGAATTTATAAAAATGAAAAACATAGCTATAAAAAAGAATAACTAGAGATATAAAGTGAATCATGGAAAATAGAAAATGAGCCTGCCTAAATCAACCCTATATTGTTACTACAGAAACGCAACACTGGGAAAAGCATGCCGAGCCCTGCAGTGACAGAAAGGGTGGCACCATAGCTGAGGGTGTTGCTGAGGTGACGTCACCTTGTGCGCTCTCTCCACATGTCTTCCTCTCCACCTCCCTCCTTTTCCTCTCCCTCCTTCTCTCTCATTTGTCTCTCTAACCCTGTCCCTGTCTTTCTCACTTTTTCTAATTTTCAAATAAAAACCGAGTTTCTCACAAACCACTTGTTTCAATCATAATGGGATCGAGACACTTCATATTTCATGAACACATTCCTGGCATAGGAAAGAGCAAATTTTCTTTTCATTTCAGACTTGTTTTCACTTGGATGAAAAACAGATTGAACTGGTTTGCTGTGGACTTATAAGAGTTACGCACATTTACACAGTTGCCATCCTCCATAGCCTCTGTCATTATTAACTTTTCCTTCCTTCCTTCCTTCCTTCCTTCCTTCCTTCCTTCCTTCCTTCCTTCCTTCCTTCCTTCTTTCCTTTCTTCCTTCCCTTCTTCTTCTCCTCCTTCTCCTTCTTCTTTCTTCTTTCTCCTTCTTCTTTCTTTCTTTCTTTCTTTCTTTCTTTCTTTCTTTCTTTCTCTTTCTTTCTCTTCTT